ATATAATACCACAGCAAGGAATGAGGCATTCTGTGATTTCATGGGTAGTTACTAAGATACCCAGATTCCAGAGTATATCCTTTACAGTGAGAACATCCAACTCCTCACATCAGCAGTTGCTGGAGATGTGGGTAGCAAACAATGAATGTCTAAGCCAACCTGGGTAAGAAGAACCTTGAGTCCTGGCACAGCTCCCTTGACTTTGCATTCAAACTAGAGTGGAAATCTTTATTGATAATGACAGGACAGGATATTTCATTTTGCAAATTATCAAGAATTCCTGTATGGAGAAGCCTTTTGATAGGCTTTCATATAAGCTACAAAAGTTCATTACTATTTATTACATGTTCATCAAAATGCTCCTCAAACCTCTTTACAAGTAGTAGATGGTGATTATTGTTTTTTTTAATTATTATTCAACATGACAAACCCTATGCTAATGAATTATTATGGCTCTTGAGCCACATCTATCCTCTGGAAACAGTGGACAGTGAGTTGTACCACTAGAAGCTTTCAAAATAGGAGAGTTTCCCTTTTTTACTTAGCTTTAGGTTCTCTAAAGAGTTGGGCAGGCCGGGAGTTGGTGGCATACGCCTTTGCTCCCAGCACTGGGGAGGCAGAGACAGGTGGATCTCCGTGGGTTTGAGGTCTACAGAACAAGTCCCAGGACAGGCTCCAAAGCAATACAGAGAAACCCAGAGAGAGAGAGAAAGAGTTAGGCAGACAAACTCTCTCTCCCTCACCCTCTCCCTCCCTCCCTTGCTTCCCCCACTCTGTGTGTGGGGGTCAGTGGGGGTGATGACAAAGCTCAAACCTGGTGCATGAAAGAATACCCTGCTTACGGGGAGCATTCCAGTCCCAGTCATTTGGTGTTCTACAGATGGGCATTTAGTCTCTTCCAAGGCCAGGTTAGGAGCCAAGAACTATTTTCAAAAGTGTAATAGCCTTTGATGAAGAGCATGCCTCTGTTTCAAAATGTCACTCCTATCATTATCCCTTGGAATCCTCTCTGGGCTTAATTGAACATTTCAGTCTTTGAGGCTGGTACTATTAGATCTGGTGTGTGTGTGTGTGTGTGTGTGTGTGTGTGTATTTATACATAAATGTATTTATGTATATATATGTACACATGCACACATACATGCAAACATTTCAACATTGAATTTTCTTTTTTGGGTAGTGACTCATTTTTTAAATTTGTAAACATAAATATTCACTGAAATAACCTAACTCTAAATGCTTGGTGATTTAATGAGGTCATGCAGTTAATTTGTTTGATTTTTTTTCTTTGTTTCAAGACAGGGCTGTTTTGGAACTCACTCTATAAACCAGTCTGACCTTGAACTTATAGAGATCCACCTGCCTCTGTTTGCTGAGTGCTGAGATTAAAGGTGTGTGCCATCACCGCCCAGTTCAGTTAATTTGTTTTACATTCCAGTAATTTTTGAAAGATCCATTAATACAATTACATCATTCCTCTCTCTAAGCCCTCCTATATATCCCCTGACCTTACTCTCTTTCAAACCCAGGGTCTTTTTCTCTTCAACTGTTGATGTTAGGTGATGTGTGTGTCCCTAAATAAATAAATATAACCCCTCAGTCCATGTAATGTTACCTGTATGTTTGTTTTCAGGGCTGACAACTTGGAATGGTTTTTCCTAGGGAATGCCATTTCTCCCACTCAGCATTCCGTAGCTGCCTGTAATTCTCTGACTAGGGTTAAACTTTAGCTTTTCCCCCTTTCACATTAGCATGTCTATTGGTGTCGTCCTTGTTCAGGCTCTATTATTTTTAACTATGTATACTTGTATCTACATGTAAGTATGTAAACTTGAATGTAGTTGCCCTCAAAGGACAGAGACATCTGATCCCCTTGGAGCTGGAGTTAGGCAGTTGTGAGCCAACATGCGTACTGAACACCTAACTTGGGTCCTCAGAGAACAGCATAAGCTGTCTCCCAAGTTCACATGTCCCAGTAAAACCTTGAAAAACTTGCACTAAGTAATCTTCTCAACATTAAGTTTTCAACCACAAGAGGTTTGCTTTTAAAAACCAGTAAGTTGGCTCAGCAGGTAAAGGCACCTGCTACCAAGCCTGCGGACCTGAGTTTGATTTTGTCTTAAGGTTTTTTTCCTTTTCTTTTTTTTTTTTTTTTTCTTTCCATTAATTTGTTTTTTTTTTAATTTGTTTGTTTTTTAAAGACAGGGTTTCTCTGTGTAACAGTCCTGGCTGTCCTGGAACTTGCCTGTAGGCCAGGCTAGCCTTGAAGTCATAAATACCCACCAGCACTTCCTGTGTGCTGGGATTAAGGGTGTGCACTGCCACCACCTGGCCTTAGTTACTGCTTCAATTGCTGTGAAGGGATGCCATGACCACAGCAACTCTTATAAAGGAAAACATTTAATTGAAGTGTCTGCTTACAGTTCAGAGGTTCTGTCCATTATAATCATGGCTGGGAGCATGGCAGTGTGCAGGCAGACACGGTGCTGGCTACATCGTTCTCAGAAGGCAACAGGATGTGGACGGTGTCTTTGAGCATGGCTTGAGCATATATGAATCCTCAAAGCTGGTCTCCACAGTGACACACTTCCTCCAATAAGAACATAACTACAAACATACCAACAAAGCCACAACTCCTAATGGCATCACTCCCTTTGGGGGCCATTTTCTTTCAAACCACCACAGAAACTAAAACCCAGATGGTAGAAAAAGAAAACCAACCCTTGAAAATTGTCCTCTGGTCTCCACGTGTGTGCCATGCTGTGCATGTACCCAAATACATTCACAACATACACATACATATACATAAGGTAAATAAATAAGTCTAATAAAATTACACTGGTGTTAAGTTATAGAGAGCAAGGCAGATTTGGTACTGATGAAGTTTCACCTAACAGCATAGCCTTAATTAGCTTAATCTTATGATACTGCACATCTGCCCGAATTCATATACACACAGGTAGATGAGTAGCAGAACAATAACAAATTAATTATCCCACAGACTTAAAGAAGACAGCAGCAACTTAATTGAACTAGATAATTGATATCCTGTCAAAGATGGTAGACATTTTCTCTTGTCGTCAATGAGTGTACAATAGTGTAGTCCTTAAAAACTGGCACTTGGAGCCTAGCATGATGGTGCCTGAGGGAAGGCAGATGGGCCACACAGCAGTTCTAGGCTCTCCTGGGCTTGGAAAACCATGTCTCCAAGTAAGAGAGGTGGATGAAAGGACAGGAGAAGGGAGGAGAGTCCACTTGGGAATATTTTATGAATTTTGAGGAAAAACTGGAAGGCAAGTGAATAAAAGGAGGGTTAGATACTTTCTTCACACTTAAAAAGCGAAGCTGTTGTTTTGTTTTGTTATTTTTTTCCTGGCAGTACTAAGTATTGAACCTGGAACCTCATGGGTGCTAGACAAGTATTCAGTGACTGAAAACTCCTGCCCTAGAAGCAAATGCAAGCATAATGTTGGGTCATTGAACTCCTGTGGCTTTAGGAATGAGGATAGTGTAGTGAGTGCAAAGGTCCAGGACATTCCACTGTCCCTTCACAGAGGTCTCTGTACTTTGGACAAGTAGGTGAGTTTAGTGTGGAGCATTGACTACTTGGGTTCTGAGACTTGGAAGGTCCTTGGCATTTAGCATTTCCCTTTGCCCTTTTGACTAGTCAGTCCTGAATAGCAAATGTTCTGTGATATCTACAGCAGATATTATGTAAGACACATGTATAAAACATATTTGACCTCCAAGGAACCATGGATTGAGCTACGTATCCAGTCAGCACATTATAAAAATTGATGAAAATATAATAGCAGTGGGCTAACCATTGGATGGAATTATTTGAGGAGTGATGGAGAAGGCTTCTCAAGTAATACCTTTCTTGACCTACTGAAGGAGAAATGGGAGTGTAAAGGACAGAGAAAGGACAGATGACATCCAGGTAGGAAAAGATAAAATGAACATGCAACAGTTTTCTTTCCTAAGCTGTTAGAACAGAGCCTTGGTGAATGACAGGACAGGAAAGATGGTTAAGTCTGCATTGCTATATGCTCCTCCTCCTTTATACCTTCTCCATTTGTTTGTTTTGTAATTGGAGTTGTTTTTTACTGTCTTGAGGATCCCAGGCTGTTCTCAATCTCATTGTGTACATAAAGAAGACTTGAAATGTGTGTGTGTGTGTGTGTGTGTGTGTGTGTGTGTGTGTGTGTGTGTGTGTGTGTGTAGGTGCTCAAGTACAATGTGTGTGATAAGTGGAGGCCTGAAGTTAATCTCAGGCAGTGTTCCTCTTTTATTGTCTACCTTGTTTTTTGTTTTTAAACCATTCTCTCTCTGGCCTAGAACTCACCTAGTATTCTAGATGTGTCTGACCAGCAAGCCCTAAGGGTCTGCCTGCCTCTGCCTCCCCAGTGCTAGGCTTACAATTTTTGAGCTACCACACCAGGCTTTTTTTCTGTAAGTTCTAAGGACCAAAGGCAGGTCTTTATGTCTTCATGGCAAGTGCTTTTCCAGCTGAGTTACCTTCTCAATTCAACCTTGAACTTCTCATTCTCTTACCTTCACCCACTGAGTGAAGGGGTCAAGGGTGTGTGACCATACATGCCATATTTGGTGCTGGGGATTGAACTCAGGGCTTCCTGCATGCTAGGCATTCTATGGAGTTACATCCCTAGTTCTCTAAGTATCTATGTTTTTAACCCAATTTTGTAATAACTCTTCTATCAAATACTTTAAAAAAAAAAAAACCTCATAAGACACTGCAAGATGATATACTACAAAAGTTCTTATGTGTCCAAGAAAAGCAACTTCAATGTTCTGTCCATATATGAAATGGGCGTATATGTTAATCTCAGAACATTTTTGTTCACCTAAGATACTTCAATATTGTATTTATAAATTCTATTTAAATGACATTAAGTTATCTTTAAATTTGGCTTTGGTGTTTCATTATTCCGAGGAGGAGAAAAGAGCATTGTCCTTACACAACCTTTTTTATTTTTCAGATCAATAACTCGATCCTATTACCGCAACTCAGTTGGTGGATTTTTAGTATTTGACATTACTAACCGACGGTCTTTTGAACATGTGAAAGATTGGCTAGAAGAAGCGAAAATGCATGTACAACCTTTTCATATTATATTTCTACTAGTGGGACATAAATGTGATTTAGCTTCACAACGCCAGGTGTCAAGGGAAGAAGCTGAGAAACTGTCAACAGACTGTGGAATGAAGTATATAGAAACCTCGGCAAAAGACGCTACAAATGTTGAGGAGTCCTTCACAATCTTGACAAGAGACATCTATGAACTTATTAAGAAGGGAGAGATTTGTATTCAGGACGGCTGGGAAGGGGTTAAAAGCGGTTTTGTTCCAAATACTGTGCATTCTTCTGAGGAAGCAGTAAAGCCCAGGAGAGAGTGCTTCTGCTGACTTCAACATGGCAAAGAGCTGTCACAGACAGGCCACCGTCCTTCTGGATGAATGTCAACATTTATAGCAGAACAGCGTAAGGAGTGAACACCTGGGAAACATCCAGACTCATGGTATCACCATCGTAAGCTGTTGGATACAGGGCTCTGTGCTCACCAGTTACACTAAAAGATAGCATAGTCTGCTAAGTTATGAGGGAAAGCAGACAACTTTTTTCCTGAAACCACTGTCTACAAAATTACATCCACTCTCATTTTCTTAGCATATAGCTGACCTTAGTGTCCAGATATGTCAGTATTATTCATCTTTCTTGACAGTTGAAAATGCAATTTTTTTGTATACATGTAGTCTGGTTGAAAAGAAATGTATCAAGATTATATTCCCCTGAGTTAATTAGTATTGAATTATAAAGTGTACTTGAAGGGCCAACGAGATGGCTCAGTGAGTAAGGAGCTTGCCATCAAATCTGTAGACTTGAGTTTGATCTCTGGAACCCCATGGTGGAAGAAAAGAACCCACTTCCCTTGAAGTTGTCCCCTGACCTCAACATGCATGCCAGCATACATGTACACACACAAATACACATGAGAGTATAGGGGCATGCACTAAATAGTGTGAAAAATACATAAGGCTCACCTTGCAGACTGGGGCCATAGCTCAGTGGTAGAATGTTTCCCTAGTTTCTGAAAACCTAGATTCAATCCCCAGCATCGACACTGGAGGGGGAAAGGCAAAGTACTAACTAGGAATAAAATAAAAGTTTTCAAAGTACCAGGTCTGCCATTATTAGAACATAGTAAGTTTTTTTGTTCCTGGATTAATTGGCCCTGGAATCTTCACTTTTGATAAGGTATATAAATGTTCAAAGAAGATATTTTAAGCAGATATTCACAGGAAACAAACAGGATCACTCAGTAGCAAGTACTTTGACGCTATAGTACGCTGTCCAAAGAAAAACAAACACAAATTTAGGCAAGAAAAAATAGTGACATTTTCAAAGAAAAAAATAATGCAGTTTGCCTTAAACTACTGTCAAAATTATCAATATACATACATATAGTATTTTTTCAGATTTCAAATTATCCTATTTCCAGTAAAAGGAAAGTGGACAAGATGTTCAAAACAAGAAAAATGGGGTTAGCCACTTGATTTAGCAGTCATGTTTCAATTTAAAGTCTCATCAATAGAAGGGAAGATAAAATAGTTAAATGAATAAAATGATGTGTAAGTTCAGGTTTTTAAACTAGTATTTTTTTTCTTTTTTGCAGAGTTTTGCTATATAGCTCAGATCTACTTGTCTCTGTCTCCCAAGTGCTGAGTATGTGCCACCATACCCAGCTCCTTCATTTTTTGTCAGGGAGGATGAGACAGGGTTTCACTCTGATTGCCCTTGTTGGCCTCGAACTTGATACGTGGACTAGGCTGGATTTGAAGTCAGAGGTCTGTCTGTCTCTGCCTCTGAGTGCTGGGATAAAAGGCATGCAGCTTACCATGGTTAATTTTTAACTTACTGCTTGAACATGCATGGAAAGGGACATTTTGATCACAGTGTTAAATATTTTATAACCTATAAATCTGTTCTATGCTCTAAATCACAGAAGGATATCTAATTACCCAATGAAATTGCTTTTTTGAAGTTGGAAGACTCTTATGCTTAAACTTTGTTTGAAAACCAAAATCGCATAGTGTAAAGAATATTGAGCAAGTCAGAGAATGTAGCTCTAAGCTTGCCTTTGTTCTACTAGTTAGTATTCGACCACAAGAATGTCCTATGATCTCTTGAGCATCATTTTTCTGGCTTATAAACTGAGCCTACTAGATTCATTTATTGAATCCTATGTAATTATTTTGAAAATCAAGTAGATGGTGTTAAAAAACATTTGAGTACAGAAAGCATTATACAAGTGTATTGCTGATGCAGCTGCTTCTGGACATTATATTTACAGTTGGGGAGAATTTCTTTTGTTGTGTTCTACTTCTGTGTAGAGGTACCAGAAGTTGGTATGTGTTTTCATGGACCCAGGGGAGTCCTTGGTTGGCACTGCCCTCTGTCCTTCTAGTTTGAACCACTGGTGAATCACTGTTTCTCTAAAGCATAAACAGTAGAGAAGAAAGCCCTTGGAAAATTAATCCAATCAAGAAGTTACATTTGAAAATGTTTTTGTGAATCTCTGAAGTAGGTATTTGATTGTATTTTAAAATAGTAACACTTGCATATTTTCTAGGTTTGTGTATTTTTAATAGTGCTTATGAAGAGACTATAAATTATGTCACTAGAAAGCTTTGAATATTTATATTGTCAATATTTTTATATCCCCAGGCTGCTTTGTGACATTCAAACTGCCCCTTCCCATGTGAAGCAGTCTACTTTTACTGTTACAATTCTAAATCTTACATTATATTCTTCCATTACATCCAAAATGGCGTGACCTAAAATGCTGAATATCTAACAGTTTAAGGTACAGTAACCTTGGTCTACTTGTCAAGTTATACAATTGAAATTTAAAGTGCGATTTTTTAACTCTCAGTGGACACCTTTCATAATAGTAATGCTGGATAAAAATGAAAGTCTATGCCAGGCGTTGGTGGCGCACGCCTTTCCAGCATTTTGGAGGCAGAGGCAGGTGAATCTCTGAGTTCTAGGCCAAGCCTGGTCTTCAGAGTGAGTTCCTGGATAGTCAGAGCTGTTGCACAGAGAAACCCTGTCTCAAAAAAAAACAAAAACAAAAATAAGACTGCCAAACATGTATACCCTTAACTCCAAATCTTCTCTCACACTCACACACACACACACACACACACACCTATGTATGCATAGTATGTGTGTTCTGTATATGTATGTGTGTATATGTATGTATGTACACATATCTATAATTGACTATTTCTTATATGTTGTGTAGGGTTTGAATGATAATGCCAAAACAGTCAATATTTGATCTAGGCAAAAAGCTTTTTCCTAGGTTTCTGTTTTTCTTTAGTTTTTTCAAGACAGAGTTTCTCTGTGTAACAGTCCTGGCTGTTCCGGAACTGAATTTGAGGCCAGCTTGGTCTACAGATCAAATTCCAGAACAGCCAGAATTAGACATGAGACTCTGTCTTTTAAAAAAAAAAAGACATAATTTATTTTATACTAATATTATTATATTTGAATTTATTTAGTCTTATTTAAATTTTATACTACTAGACAGTGTAGCTAATTACCAAATATTTTAAGTCATTAGGATTTTTAAAATCTACCCAGGATATAATAAACTTGATCTGATTGGCACCGCCCATCCACAGTGCTAGTAGTTTCAGAACATGGAATGGTGCAATGGTTAACTATATGCAAGCTTGAACAAGATGTCCTTGTGGTCACAATGCTTTCCAATGTGCTCTTTGTGTTCTCTGCATCACCACAGGGACAAGGGAGAGTGAGTTTTTGAGCCTGGAAATCTGAGGGTTTAGGGTTCCAAAAATGCCAAACGACCAAAAACAATCGAGTATTGTTTTTGGTTTTTTGTTTTGGTTTTGGTTTTTTGAGACAGCCTTAGCTGTCCTAGTATTCACTCTGTAAACCAGGCTGACCTTGAACCCAGAGACCCACCTGCCTCCACATCCCAAGTGCCAGGATTACAGGAATGAGCCACCATTGCCTGGCTCCTGTATTGTTAACATGCCTTTTTATTGAGCTTTACATCACTGGAAAACTGGATCTAGATTACTAAAAATCATTTTAAGAATGATGTCTGTTTTTATACTTCCCTTGGTTCAATGAAGATCATAACCTCTGAGACTTCAGAGTGCCCTATATTTGAATAATTCTTTAGATCTGATCAAGCAAAAAGGATGAGCTGGACTAATGACCCATTTGATAAGCTGACTCATTGCTTTCCTCAGAGCTGCCCGGAAAGAGTCAGGTTGGAAAAATAAAGGAAACATCATATCTAGGGTAACATCACTTAGACCTAGCTCCTTTATATTTTAAAATAGTAGAGTAGCAGGGCCAGGTGTGGTGGTACGTGTCTGTAATCCAGAGACAGCAGGGTCACTACTACAGATCAAAATTCCGTACCAGCCACTCAACAGTAGAATAGATGTCCAAGCAGAGTTACTCTTAGGGATCCCACAGCTGATGAACAGCCATTTATGTTTCGGAATCTTTCCAAACCTCAAATGTTTCCACCAGTCTTTTCCTGGGCAATTGATCTTCACCCATGAAATAAGAAACAAACTGTTCTCTGGAACCTGAATGAAGTGCTGTGTGACTTGATACTTTTTGTAAAGGCAGTGACTGAAGCAAGAAGACCGTAGGTCCGAAGCTACGGCAATCTGAATCAATCACTACACATTCTAGTTCACTTGCTGCACACAATCACACTAAAAAATAAAACAAAAAGTGTTTTAAAGACATATTACAAAAGAGCACCTTGATATCTCTTTGGGTAAAACTTTGGTCCCTGTTAAAATAGTGCCTGACACATTGTTGTAACTGTGACATTCAATGACTACTAATGTGGTTATGGTGTTGAATTATGCCTTCTAAATGTGAGTTCCACATCTTTATATTTGACTCCCATATATTTAATTTTAATGCATACATTCCATAGAAGAATAATGTTTTGCTATTGTAATACATTGGTATTTTTTTCCAGAATGACAAGAAAAGTAAAATAAGGTATAAACTTGATGGACGTTACTAATGCTACCTGATTCTAAACAATGAAGATTGTCACAGAAGCCTTCAAAAATGTGAAGTAAAATAAACCTTTTAATAAATTAATTACTCAAATGTTTTGTTAAAGTCAAAAAACTGAAAACAAACCCCTGATCTCTCTCTTTCTCTCTCTCCCTCACACACACACACACACACACACACACACACACACACACACACACACACACACACACTTCATCCCCTTTGATTGCATGGATGAAGTAGACTATTTGATTATCTTTCTGTTTTTACAACCAGGGTGATCAAAAGGAATGAATCAATGTGATGCTTCTAAATGAAGATGTTTATTATAACGTGTTTGTTATACAGCCAATGAGCCCAACTTCTCTCACAGAGGCTGGCTGTTAAGTCCAAAGTCTTCAGGCTGCAGGCTCAGAAGAACTTATGCTGCAGCTCAACTGCAAAGGCCACCTGCCTAGAAACAAACAAACAAACAAACAAACAAGCCACTATTGTCAAAGAAGTCCAAAGACAGTCTACTGGAGAATCCCACTTTGCTCAGAGCAGACCAGCCTTTTTATTCTATTCAATCTTCGATTGATTAGATGACATCCACTCACATTATGAAGGCTGTTATACTTCAAAGTCCACTAATTTAAATGTTAACCTCCCCTGCTGGACATGGTGGCACAAGCTTTTAATCCCAGCACTCAGGAGGAAGAGGCTGACAGATCTTTGTGAGTTCAAAGCCAGCCTGGTCTACATACTGAGTTCCAGGATGGCCAGAGTTATGTGGAGATCCTGTCTCAAAAAAAAAAAAAAAAAAAAAAAAAAAAAAAAAAGGAAAGAAAACAGCTAATCTTTTCCAAGTATACTTGCACAGAAACATCTAGACTGAGCGTTCATGTCATGGCTTAACAAAGTTGACATGCTGAGAGGTGGAGGCACACACCTTTAAACCCAGCACTCAGGAGGGAGAGACTGATGGTTCTCTGTGAGTTCAAAGCCTGCCTGGTCTACAGAGTGAGTTCCAGGACCACTAGGGCTACACACAGAGAAGCCCTGTCTTCAAAAACAAAGTTGACACATTAAATTAGCTACCCCCAAAACCTAGAAAAGCAAAGTGTTCTTATTTACATGTGAAATCTAAAACAATAGAACTCAGAAAAGCAGAGATGAGAATGTTGGTTATTAGAGGCTGGGAATGGTAGGAAATGGAGAAGTTGACCAAAAGATTCAGTCATTCAATTAGATAAGAGGAATGAACAATAAATACAATGATGGTTCTATTTATTAGGTTGATTCAATGGTTCCAAATTGGTACATATATCATGGCATCCCTTTGTAGCCCATAAATGTATATATTTTACTAATGAAGAGACCAGTATCAGCTCAAGACACCCCAAGACCAAGGTCTTAGTACAAAGGGGATTTATTTGCCCTAGAGGGACAAAGGGCAGGGAATAAGAGACAAAGACAGGAAATAGAGGTGAGGGAAAAGGGGGAACAGAACAAGGGACATTTGTTCTGGGGGCACAACAAAGGACTGCCTCTGCATATAGAACAGACAGATGTGGCACATAGGCAAATGGCAGATGAAGAGAAAACTTGTGTTTTTGTTTGTTTGTTTGTTTTTGTTTTTGCGGCGGGGGGGGGGGGGACGGCGGCGTTTGGGTTGAAACTGGGCTTCTCTGTGTAGCTTTGGAGCCTAACCTGGAACTTGCTCTATAGACCAAGCTAGCCTCAAACACAGACATCTGTCAGTCTCTGCCTCCAGGGTGCTGGATTTGAAGGTGTGTGCCACTATCACCTGTCTTGGATGAGGTATTTAATTTTGATTGGCATGTTAATTAGGGCAGCCAAAAGGGAGCTTTTGATAGCTGGGCTTTGGTAGTAAGCCCCAGGAAGAGGAAGTGGCTAAATAAGGGAAAAGACCTTGATGGCTAGCTCTAGGAATGTAATCTAATGGTTTTATAGTCAGAAGTTTCTGTCCTGCCTGATCCCACAGTTGTCTAGTCCCAAATAAACACACAGAGACTTATATTAATTATAAACTATTTGGCTGATGGTGTATGCTTCTTATTGGCTAGCTCTCTCTTATTAACCCATTTCTTTTTTTTTCTTTTTTTTTTTTTTTTTTTTTTTTTTGTTGTTTTTTTGTTTTTGTTTTTTGTTTTTTTGAGGCAGGGTTTCTCTGTGGCTTTGGAGGCTGTCCTGGAACTAGCTCTTGTAGGCCAGGCTGGTCTTGAATTCACAGAGATCCACCTGCCTCTGCCTTCCGAGTGCTGGGACTAAAGGTGTGTGCCACCACCACCCAGCCTTTATTAACCCAATTATATTAATCTATGTATATCCATGTGGTCTCTGCTTACCCAAAAATGTCTGGGTCTCTTTCTTCCTTGGCAGCTACATGGCATTAACTTTGCTCTGCCTCCTACCTTTCTCCCTGTTTGGATTTCCCACCTGGCTAAGTCCTGCCTGTCCATGGGCTGAAACAGGTTTATTCATCAACCAATAAGAGAAACATATATTGACAACATACAGAAGGACATCCCCCCATCATAGTTTTTAGCAAGGCAGAGAGAATGGGGAGAAGGCAAAAGGCACGTCAGAGCCATGTTTGCAGTGCTTAGGCTGGCTAGAGTCCTTTCAAGTAATCTTCAGTTTTAAATGCTAGCCATCACAGATGCCATGTCTAATCATTCATTCTATGAAGCTGCAAAACAGTCATACCTGGCTTCTCCCTGAACCTGACATACATTACAACCCTAATAATATAGTTGCTAAGTGTTGTCACATAGTCTACTAATAGCACCTTACTGTTGCCATTCCTATTAGGAAGCTCCCATCACGAGCCATGGCCTTCAGAGGAGAGCTACAGTGACCTTCTTGGAAAGAAATACAAATGCCCTTTTCACTAGGATACTCCTCACTGCCCTTTCTGAAGTACTTGGGTAGTGGAGAGCTTCTCACTCTACATACCACATCCATTTAGCATGCTCAATTTTCTGGCCTGTTAAGCCTTTTTTTTCTGCTGTCATGGCAATTCTAGCTTTCCAACTGCAGTTAATGTGGACAGCATTCTCTGCCTTCCATCCTGGGGAAAAGTTGGCACTTTCTCCTGAGATTCTTGCCAGAGTATTAAATCTAATATTCCTGAAAATGCTCCCAAATCAATAACATTTCCTTTATGTATCCCCTTCTACTTTTTCCCTGACCTTCTGATAAAGTGCAAAAACCAACCAGCCAACCAAACAAACAAACAAACAAACAAAAAAAAAAAACAGTAGCAGAGCCAGTCAAGCCCCTAGCATGTGTAGAAAGATATGAAAGATGGATGGGTTTTCAGGAAAGAACAATTCGTAACTATTACAGATAGCCCAGAAAGTGTTTGACCAAAAGAGACAACAAAGATCTGATAAATATGGGGTGTGTCACCATGGTTGCACTACAAGCCCCAATCACTCAACTCTGTCCATGCACACCAAGATAAAAATAAGAGACCTTTACAAAAGGGCCAGTGTGTCTATGGCAAAGAAATTGGTTATTGGAAAAATGAAAGTCCATGCCAGATGCCAGAAACAGAGAGGTCCTCCCCAAAACCCAAGCTAATCCTAGCTGTGCAGGGTTAGTAAGGCTGAAGATCCTTCAAACCAGGCCCCGAGGAGCCTATGGTAACCTTCATCATAGGGGGTCAACGTGCAAAAGTGTCTTATGGACACAAGGGCTACTTATCTGGTATTACAAAAGCCCCTGGGACCCCTTACCAACCAAACAATGGAAGTACAGAGGCCAAAGTAGAAGTCAAAGAACACAAATGAACCACTGACTAGACTGTGATGTAGGACAAGGAATTGTGACTCACACTTTTTTGTTGTTGTTGTTGTTGTTATTCCAGAATGCCCCTACCTATACTGGGGCAGGACCTCCTGAACAAGCTCCAGGCAACAATATCGTTCTCAGTAGACTCTCCTAGGTTGCAATTGGGAGACCCTACTAAGGTTTCAACTATAATCTGCCCAATAAATTAGGAATATCTGTTCCTCCCAAAATCCAGCCCATTCCCTGGAAGGGGAATGGAAAAAGTTACTGATCCAGTAAATTCTTACAGTTTGGGCAGAGGACAAGCCTACTGGCTTGGCAAAACATGTGCCACCATCATGGTGCACCTAATATCTGGGGCAGTGCCTGTTTGCGTTAAGAAGTACCTGATCAGTTCAGAGGCCAGGGAGGGGATTAAGATTTACATCAGGTGCCTCCTTGAAGCAGGCATACTTACTCCTTTTTTAAAAAGAATTCATTTAACTTTATTTTATGTGCATTGGTGTGAAGGTATCAGATCCCCTGGAACTGGAGTTTCAGACAGTTGTGAGCTGCCATGTGGGTGCTGGGAATTGAACCTGGGTCCTCTTGAGTGCTCTTGAGGAATCTCTCAAGCCCCCATACTTATTCTTGTCAGTCAGCCTGGAATACTCCCTTGTTGCTTGTCCAAAAGTCTGGAACTTGAGACTTTATAGATCAGTACAAGACTAAAGGGAGGTGAGCGAGAGGGTGGAACCCATTTACACAACTGCTCAAATCCCTACAGTTTGTTCAGTTTATTACACTAAGGGGAGAGGGCCAGCCAGAGACACACCCTGAGCAGAGCCTAAGAAACAAACTTTGGCCCTGCAACCAGAACCAAAGAAATGTACCATGACCCTGAAACTGGTGCCAAAAAAAAAAAAAGTTGTCCCTGGAATGAGAGCCAGTGAAAGAAATACATCCTGGTCCCAAAATTAGAACCAAAAGGCTAAAAAGGACCAGTGAAAGAAACACACTTTGGCCCTGAAGCCAGAGCCAAATCTGATCCTGAACCTGAATAGAAAACCAGCCAATCTCTGAGCAGGAGATCTAGCCAATCTGAGCTGAGGGATTGAAAATTGACCAATCTGCACCCTGAAAATCTCCCTGGGAAAAACTCTGCCCCCTAAGAAGCCCTATATAAACCCCATGTCTGTTCATCTCGTGGTTGTCAGGCTGCCTGGCTGTCCACTGCCACCCAGGATTCTTTCTTCCCAATAAATGTTTTTTTTTTTCTTTTTCTTTTTCTTTACCAAACAGGGTTTCTCTGTGTTGCTTTGGAGCTTGTCCTAAAACTCACTCTGTAGAACATGCTGGCTTCAAACTCACAGAGATCCACCTGCCTCTGCCTTCCAAGTGCTGGGAGCAAAGGCATGCACCACCAACACCCAGCCCAATAAATGTCTTGAATGAGGTTAGGGTGAAGATTAAGACCTTCTTTCCCTGGGGAATGGCAGGGCAGGGCAGGGTGGGGTGGGGTGGGACTGGGTGGGGCAGGGCAGGGCAGGGCACTTGGTGTCTAAACCATGAGTCTTCTTTGTGAAACCACCACCATAAGAAAGCTGCACCAGGATACCATCATCCCAGGACTCTCCAGTGGTTTATTTTTTGGTGTCCCTATCTCTTTTCCAA